TGTCATGGCATGTCAGTAGCTGTAAGCTCCCAGGAGCTGCAGCCTGCAATGCCCTTTAAAGCACCGAGGCCAAGACAAGAGAAAAATCTTGGGCTTCTTTTATCTCTGCTTTCCAGACAATGTCCAAGTGTCTCTGTATTCCCAGTGATTGTCCTTTACTGTCTGACAGGACCAGCACTAAAAATTCTAGGTATTGCAGCACCTAGCTGGTGGGTGCCTGGGCTCTTTACTGGACCTTTCTCTAAATACCTGGATGTTCAGCAGTGGTCACATCTAGAAGAGCAAACGGAATGCTGGATGTAGAGAAATTTTATATGCCAGCTGAGGGAGGCTTGTGGTAATGTAATTTTTAGATGTAAGTGCATTTAAGCCATTCTGATGAGTAGCCCGAACTCCTTTTGGCACTGAAGTCAGGGACAGCGTTCAACATTTCTATCAAAGCCCAAACACTGTGAGACCTGGGCAGTCAGACCTAAATTAAGGCAGGTAATACACTTCTCAAACACCACTGTTTGCAAAACTGGTAGAGAAAATGCCAAATTTTATCAATAACCTTTTAGAACTATTTTCTGCTTTCAGTATTAAACACATCCATTTTGTCTTTGCATTTAAAGGCCTCCTTTTCTTCTTGTATATTTGAGCTCCAGATAATTATTCTAATTAAAAATATGTAAAAGCCAACAAATGCAGCAGAAGTATTTTCTCTCTTGAAAACCATGGTTAATTACCTCCAGTATCCATTACTTAGGTGCCTCATGACATGTTTTTATTTCGCTTCTCTGATATTTTTCTCTTCCTGCCAATGCAAATTTCACATACTGATTGACTTCTATAGTATTTTACCTGAATACATTACATTAGCCATAAAAAGCACTATTTTATTGTACTACTTTGGGGAAAAAAACAAAACAAAACAAAAAAACCACCCAGCCAGACACTTTCTCCATTACATACTAAGGCTGCAATGCTTTAATAACAGAAAGACAAACAAGAATTTTTGCTAAATATTCTCCTCTGTGGGTAACAGCTCCCCATTTCATTATAAAACTTGTAAAGTATTATTTAGAAAAGTACAGCAAAAATAATTAAAAATTAGATCACCATACAACAACTTATTCATTGAAAGTAGTAGTTAAAACTCAGTCAGAAGACTGGGTATCAAAGGAAAAGATTAAAAAGAGAAATTATAAAATGTCAAAAGTGTCTCCTTTTTAAACACACAGGCATCTCAAGGTACAACAGCACAAGGGAGAGTCTCCTAAGTGATCTGTGATCCTACAGGTCAAATACCACTTACAAATTACACATTATAAATTGGATATCTCTTAAAATCAAGGTATACTGCTGTGCAGACTATATACTGTCTATGTGCTACTTATTAGCAGAGAAACTTTCAAACTAATTAATTTAAACATTGTTTCCTGCGCTTCTCTTTCCCGCACCTCTTCATAAGGTTTGTGTTGTCCTTACAGCACAACTTCAGCACAGGCCTTCCTAAACTCACTAATGAATGAAGATACCCATCCAAATAGCTCCTGAGAGTCCAGGTCTTGCGGCTCCCCAAATTTTACCTGTAAATTTGAAAGAGAAGAATATTGAACATTAGTATGTTCAAGTAATCTAAACCATGTCCAGAATCTTAACGAATTTAAATACCTTTTTATTATTATTAATAATAATAACAAAATTAACAATAAATAATTAGAAAACTTAGAGCTGGCTAAAATCTCCAGCAAGCTGAGATCCAAAACATCCCAAGTAAAAGTGGCTCCAGGAGTTGTCCCTGAGTTACCTCAGTAACCTGGGTTTCTGTGTAACCCAGTCTCTCTGGCTACAGATCTCCAGCTGAAGAGAAAAATCAGTAAATCATGAAGCTTCCTGGCTCTGCAGTTTTTTTAGATGAACCCATTCATAAAAGAAAATGTGTACATTAGGGAAATGGTTTATATTCCACAGTGTGCGGGTAGCAGCATGCTCAAAAAGTTTTCCTTTTCTGTCATTTTGCTTTGCAAACAAATGAAAATATTCATAAGGAAGCAAACATTTTTGGGAGAAAAACTAATTTATCAAAGAGCCACCTTTCCCTGTTCTCTTTTTCCTTCAGCTGAAAAAGGTGAGTGGATGGAAAGATTTTGAAAAAGACATGAACAATATTGGCATCATGTCTGCTCTGAGGTGAACGGCAGTCAGTCTACAAAGTTCAGTACTAGGAGAGGGATTCCTGCATTAGCTAAAATCACTTCCACATAGGTTCCCCAGCTCTAGAATAGGAAAGGATTTTTGATATTAAATCTGTTGCTAAGGTTTAATTCAAGAGGTTTGTCACCATTTTCAAAGGATCCTCCTTAATGGGATCGATGAGTTAAAGAACATAACTCTGCCTGCAACGCCTTCCTAATTGAGCAGAACAAATCTGGAGAACATACTCCAAAGGCTTCATCAAAAAGTTCAAAAAGGCATCTTGTGTTGCTGCAAGTTCTTATCGTGGCCGTAATTGAGAGCTACTCTGTAACTGGGGGATACAGCCCTCCCAAGGCTGAACAGCGATGTAGTTGTATTTCGGTATTTCAGATTGCAACTGAAAGATACGGGAAGGTTTGGACTGGTATCTGTTGTTATCTAAACATGTTCACCTGGACATCATCTAACATGTTCCTAGGAGCAATCCTCTGCCTGGAAATCAGAAACACAATAAAAGAAACCACTCACATATAATCCAGTCACAAAAACTTTAGCATTAACCAGTGACACCTGATTAATAGTTTTGCCTGTTGTGTTCCTAATTGCACCTCCTGGGTGCTCCAAGCCCTTGATCTTTGGCACGCCTCGCCACTCACCCATGGCGTACCATCAGTTACACAGTAATGAGAGAAGCATTTCCTGGAGCTAATGACCATCTGTGGGAAGTTGATAGCCCCCAGCTATACCACAGGCAGTTATCCCCAATTTATTGTTCATTCCATAGAAGTGTCACATGCCAAGGTCATTATTGATTTTATAAGCAGAATATAAAGGTAGGCCTGTGGATTTTTGTTTTATGTGCAACATGATTTCCATGGCTACCTACAACACATTTCCAGATCAGATATTCCCGCAGGTAAGCTGGACTACACCTTCCTAGTGCTGTTGAGATGATAGCCCTGTCTTTGATCTCCCATCCTATTATATATTTGCTTTACATTTTTGCTACGTTATAAATATGCAAAAAGATCTGCCTAACAATAAGATTATTCAGGAAGAAAAAATCCGTTCTAAGTGAGAGAAATATATCAAATGCCTAACTTTAGGGGGGGGGGGGGGGAGAAATGGGCAAAAAGCAGCTGGGTTAAGACTTGAGGAAACTTCCAGCTACATGGAATATGAAATCCTCTTCAGATGCAAATAAGAGTCTCAGATGAGAGTTTTCAAGACAAGAAAGGAGAGCAAAGAACCTCACACATATATCTGTGGCACAGCATCACATGTGTAATGCCTCCTGGCTGAATGTACACAGCAGGAGGGAGACAAGGTCTGTGCAGGAGGAGTACGACGGAGTACGTACGTGCAGGAGGGCACATCCAGCACGCACCTCTGCAAGCAGGACCAGCCACAGGACACTAAATCCTCCTGAAGATGACTTTTAGGTAAAATGGGTCAAATTCTTCCATACCCCGTGCAAAAAGCATCCCCCCAAAGGTTTTACAGCACAAATCTCCCCACTTTTAAAACCCAGTGAATACTTTTCAACTATTTCCACTCATGTAACTCAGTTGTTAATTCTCTCATTTACACTATTTTTTCCACCTTTCTTCTTCTTGCTTTATCCCAGTCCTTTGGCCTTTTTTGAAGGCTTGGGACAGAGTTCTTTGTCTATGTGTTCCCATACAAATTTGGCTTGTAACCCTACGCAGAGGCATTTTTCCCATTTGTGAAAGGCTGCAAGAGACACAAAGAAACCCTTGCACATTGCCACAATCCTACTTTTAGTAAAACATTACTAATTAGTTTTTCTTGGTCATACATCTTGCTGATCTTCAATGCCTGTTCAGATAGGTCCCCAAAGGTCTTCTGGCTGCATCTTCTGTGTAACATTTGCCTATCATAAAACTTCTCTACTTCTAATCCCTCCCCCTCATAAAAAAAAGGAAAAAAAAAAACAACAAAAATCCACCACCACCATTTAAAGCTGTGTCCTAATCCCAGGCCTAGGAAATTATTCCAGTTTCAGAGATTAGCATTGCATTTCAGCAAATCTGTCCCTTTCCTTAAAATGTCCTCCTGCGACTGTTCTGCTGGAGAATACCGTTACCACAGCAGACACCTCCTGAATTTCTATCACACTCGAAGAGCACTGTCCTAAATGAGGAATCTACA